TAAATACTGACACATACTATGAGTGGACTCTTCCCATGTCTTTTCCTGAGATAGTTGCTTTCTTGAAAAGATCCATATGCACAAGAAAACCATTTTTTTATTCATTTAGCTGGGGATATAAAGCAAAATCTCTCCCAAAATCCAATTCCCAAAGAATAATCACAGCCAATGCTCAAAGATAGCAGCTAACAAAAAGGAGTAATCCATAGGTCTGATAATTGGGTGGGTCACGATAGTTGTACCCCTCATGCTAGAAATTAATAAATAACAATAAATGTCTGTACTGGCAATTCCTTTTATAGAACTTTCAACAATGAAATATTAACTTTTGATACATACTATGTTGCTCAGTTAATTTGATCTGCACTTACTCTGTACGTTTTCCTTTTATAATTCTTGAGTACTGTCTATCAAATGCCATTCACTTTTGCATATTACAAAACATAATTTTAGAGATTTTTGTGTAAGCTGTTTGGAAGAATATTTTCTGTGTCGGACAGATTGTATATTTTTCTGGGAGCAAGTATATATGCTTGCTTTAAAATCTTTTTACAAGATTTCAGGAAAACATGATAGTAATATAGGAAAGCTAAATAAAATAACGCCATCAAAGTAACATGATTTATTTCACTGCATGATCTTTGTTGGCTTAAAACTCTGATTCCATTTAAGTAAAGCTTCCCTTCATAGTCACTATGAACTTTGCTTTTTATTACAGCCTACACATCCAATTTGTATGAAGGGAATCATTCTGATTTTACAGGGTTTTTTAAATAGACTGTTTCTCTTTTATGGACATAAACATATCCCACTTTCACACATAATTATTTCATTTGTATAGTGCCTGTAATTTATGATCATTCATAATATAAATTTCTTTTTACTGGATAGTCATTGTCCTTCACTTAATATGATCTTGACCTGCATCTGAGTCATTGTCAAGAAAAAGCAACAGCAAATGGATAAATGCTGCTTATATCTGACTGTTCAGAACACATACGCTTGTTTTCTTAAGATCTGGATGACACAAGTTCCTAACCAGCTCCTGCTGACTTAAAGCTTGCTTTATTTTCCTGGCCACAATGCAAGGTGGGTTATGAGGGTAACTTTATGTTAAACTCATGCTTCCCTCAGTAGAAGAACAATTAGAACCTGTTTTTTCTGAAGAAATGCAGTTGCTTATGCACTGTGATTTCCTGTTGGTTTGGATGGATAATTCAGATTTATTAGTGTACCAATTTTTCTTAAACTAGTGAGATTATAAAGTCCAATAATAGGTCACTATTATTATTGTGATTCATTGTATATTCAGCCAGATGTTTAAAGCAGATTTGGCATTTTTATACATTTTGCCCATCCTATGGACCTGGGATATGCAGATCTTGTGTTTGATGTTGTTAAAGCTGTTGCTGCAGGATGTAAGCTGTTTCAAGTAAAGCTGCCTTTTGCAATTATTATTATTATGGTTTGTTGAATAGACTGTATTTGACATTTTTATCCACCTATTCAGTCATTCCCAAGGACCTGGGATAGGTAGATGTTGATATTTGATGGTGTTAGATCGTCGCAAGATGTAAGCTGTTCCAAGTAAAGCTGCCTCTTGCAATTCATTGACGGTGAATTTGTCATTAAAGTAGTGCTTCAGTTGTTTTGGGATTGCATCCAAGGCATCTATCAATCAGAATAGAGCTGGAAGGCATCTTGGAGGTCTTCTAGTCCAACCCCCTGCTCAAGCAGGAGAGCTTATACCATTTCAGATAAGTGGCTGTTCAGTCTTTTCTTAAAATCCTCCAGTGATGAATCACCCACAACATCTGAAGGCAAGCTGTTCCACTAGTTAATTGTCCTCACTGTTAGGAAGTTTCTCCTTAATTCCAGGTTGCTTCTCTCCTTAAGTAGTTTCTATCCATTGTTTCTTGTCTTGTCTTCTGGTGCTTTGGAAAATAAGTTCTTTGTGGCAGCCCTTCAAATACTGGAATACTGCTATCATGTCACCCCTAGTTCTTCTTTTCTCTAGACTGGCCATACTCAATTCCTGCATCTGTTCTTCATGTGCTTTTGTCTCCTGGCCCTTAATCATCTTTGTTGCTCTTCTTTGCACATTTTCCAAAGTCTTGACATCTTTTTTGTAATGTGGTGACCAAAACTGGATGCAGTATTCTAGGTTTGGTCTTACTAAGAATTTATAAAGCGGTACTAATACTTCACATGATTTTGATTCTATGCCTTTGTTTATACAACCAAGGATTGTATTAGTTTTTTTGGCTGCTGCCGCATACTGCTGACTCATGTTTAAGTGATTGTCCACTAGGACTCCAAGGTCCCTCTCACAGTTTCTCTTTTTGAGCCAGGTTTCACCTAATCTGTACTTGTAGCTTTGGTTTTTTCTGCCTAGCTGTAAAACCTTACTTTTCTCCACATTAAATGGGATAGAGCCCGTAGCTCAGATCTATCAAGATCTTTTTGAATCCTAAGCTTGTTTGCTGGTGTGTTGGCTATTCCTGCCTAATACAGAACCTTGTGGTACCCCACTGCTTCCTTCCTTCCATGTAGAGGTAATACCATTAAGGACTACTCATTGAGTACAGTTTGCCAGCCAGTTACAAATTCATCTGGTGGTGATTTTGTCTATCCCACAGTTTTCTAGTTTACCAAGGAATAGGTCATGGTCTACTTTGTCAAATGCCTTGCTGAAGTCTAAGTATACTATGTCCATAGCATTTTGCTGATCTACTAATTTAGACACTCTGTCAAAGAATGAAATAAGATTAGTTTAGTAGTGCTGGCTACTAGTTATAACTTTATTTGTTTCTAGATGTTCACAGATATGGGTTTTTAAAATTATTTTTTCCAGTATCTTCCCAGTATTGATGTTAGGCTGATTGGTCTGTAGTTTCCTGGGTCTGTTTTTTTTTTTCCTTTTTTGAAGATGGGAGCCACATCATCTCTTTTCCAACCCTCTGGTAGCTCCCCAGTGCTCCAGGAGTTTTTAAATATATAGTATAATGGTTCTGAGATAACATCTGCCAGCTACTTCAGAACTCTGGGATGTAGTCCGTCAGGTCCTGGTGATTTATATTAAGCAAGATCAGGCAGGTGTTCTCTCACCATTTGCTTGCTTATTTTAATTTTTATTTCTAATCTGTCTTTTATAGTTATGGTTTTGGTAGTTTGGGCTATAGTTTCTTTTTGTGTGAAAATTGATGCAAAGAAAGAGTTAGGCAGCTCTGCTTTCTCTGTACTGCCATCTTTCTTGTTATTTATATGTTGAAATAAACTTTATTATTATCTTTTGTTGCAAGTCTTTGTTCATTCTGAGCCTTTGCCTTCCTGACTTAATCTGTGATGACCCAGGGCACAGCACAGAGGCAATGCAGTCAGCTGGCAATTTAAACAGTTCTTTTATTGCTCCAAATTTTCCCAAAATGCTCCCACATTTGCTGACAAGCCTCCAACAAACGAACACACACACACCTCCAGCTGACTCTGGCTGAAAGTAGGTTCAAATACAGTCTGCTTAGCATAAGAAAGTACTCAAGGCCATAGAGATAACAAGGAAGAAAACATAAACTTAACAAGTCTGTTTGAATCCTAGCTTGCTTGAGCAGTTTTCAAAAGAGAGAATCCGAAATACAGTCCGAGGTCTTTAAACATTCAAGTAGTGTGGTCAGTCAATCCAATAGTTCGAGTTTCCAGGTTTCCAAACAGAAGTCACAGAACAAGAGATTAGCCACAATATATAACACTCCAAGAATCAGTGTTTGTTCCCGACAAATGCCCCTCCCCACAGCGTCTCCTTAAATCTCAGTCTTCCTTGTGGAGAAGGGTGGGACGCTCTCCTCCCGATTAATTGAGCCTGCCTGCGTTGTTCCCTCCTTCTCTCCACTCTCCATGCTCTAGGATCAGGTGGGGGTGGCCCTTGCTCATCGCCTGAACTCTGCCTCTCCTGTTCCTCCTGTTCCAATCCTGAAGGGCCCTGGCCTGCCTCGCCCTGCTTTTCCCCACATTCCTCTGAAGCCACAGACACCTCTCTCTCAGCCTCCAAAGAGTCCCATTCCAGTTCATTTACCTCCGCAGATTCAGGCTCAGACAGAGGCATGACATAATCTTTGCAGATTCGGGCTATCTGCTGATATTCTGCCTTTGTTATTCCTCTTTCCATTTTTTGTATTTATCCTTTTTGTTTTTCAGTTTATCAGAAAGATCTTTGTGCAGCCATGCTGATTTCTTCTTGGATTTCTTCTTTATTTGTTTTTAAGTGGTATTATGTTGGACTGGGATTTATGATCATATTTTTCAGAGTTTCCCATGCTTCTTGAGTTGTTTTCCCGTTTAGGATTTTTATCCATGGAATTTTTCTTAGGCTCTCTCTGAGTTCGTTAATATCAGCTCTTTTAAAGTTAAAGAGACTGGTTGGATTATATGCTATTGATTGTGTTTGCATTACGTTGAATTCCAATATGACGTGGTTACTCTCGCCCAAGGTTCCAGCATCATCAACTCCCTTTATCACTTCTTCTTTATTAGGGCCAGTATTGCTTTTCCTCTACTTCCCTCCTCTACCTTTTGGATGACAAAGTTGTCAACTAAGTTGGTTAAGAATCTGTTCGATCTCCCACTTGCTGCAGAGTTTGTCTCCAGTTGATATCAGGGTAGTTAAAGTTTCCCATTACTATTGTGGAATGTTTCCTACATATATTTGTTAATTGATTAGCAAAAAGTTCATCTATTTCTTCTTCTTTGTTGGGTCACCTGTAGTATATGCCAATAGCAATGCATTTTTCTCTTTTATATTGACCTATTACTATTGGTATTACCTCTGCTTTCTTTTGCACAGTCATTCTATTTCTATTTGCAGGTCTTTGTATTTTGTTATCTTCTATTATCATTAGCCATACTGTAAATGATTGCTAATTATATTTACTAAAAATATAGATTCTGTCTTTGCCTTCTTGATTAACAATCTTTTACTCTATTTTGTGTGTATTTTCTCTTCACAGTGCCACCTTGGGCCTTAATAGCCATAGCCATAGTTGCCATCTTATTAGTCCTTACCTGCTGTTTCTGTCTGTGTAAGAAATGCTTGTTCAAAAAGAAAAACAAGAAGAAGGGCAAGGAGAAGGGAGGAAAGAATGCAATTAACATGAAAGATGTAAAAGATTTAGGCAAGAACTTGAAAGATCAGGTAAAGTATATACCGTGTTCTTAAATTTATACTGTATTTGAATATTTAAATGCATAGACTGAGAGGAAGAGATACGCTATTATGTACTTTATTGAAAATTGACTAGTTGCAAGTGTTACAATGGAAAATTTCTATCACACTATTCTCTTGATCAGCACCCTTAATTTGAGTTTGGGCTGCTACAAGTACAGCTCCTGGATGTTTTCAGATTTGTAGCTCAGATTCAGTTTACTAGGTGTACTAAGTTTACAACACATAATAGATGTTGATATTTCTGAGAAGGAGTTCACAACATAGTAACCAAGATGGCTGAGTTATCTGTCATCTCACAAAACTACACTGAGATCTCCCCCAAGGTAATGTTTTATTTATTTATTTGATCTAAAATTTTGCAGGATCATTGAGTTTAGTAAGATTTTGGTAATCTTTTGGTAATCTTGACAAAGCCGAAACACCAGATAAGAACACCAAAATTGGGCATCAGGTTGCTTAAGAGTTTGTGATTACTAGTTAAAATTTCATGACATTTGAGGTGATTTAAGAATATCTAGCCATCATATTGTATGCTGGAATCCACTGTCTGAAATGGTTGCCAACCAGTGCACAACCAAGAAAAGTATTATTGTACTGATTATCTGCTATTAAGGCAGTGTTGACTCTTAGCAAACCTATAGAAAAAATTTGTTCATGATATGCCCTTAACCTGGTCCTTCAAGTCTTCCAGAGGTGCACCCATTACCACTGTATCTGAGTCTGTCCACCTTATTGCTCGTCTTTCTCTTCTTTTCTTTCTTCCACCTCTCCCAACATAAGAACCTTCTCCAGAGAGCTAGGTTTTTACATAATGTATCCAAAGTATGATAATTTGAGCCTGATCATTTGTGCTTTTGAGTGAGAACTCTAGATTGATTTATTCTTTTATATGCATATATAATTAGAAATGAGAACCACCAAATTAATATCTAGAGCACAAATAAAAGATAATCTGTTATTCCTTCTGTAGAATGTTCTTCTGGCTCCTTAAGCCTACTTGTACTAAGATTATTGGGACTGCCATTTCTTTATCACAAATTAACCTCAGCCCATCTTATTAACATCAAAACATGAATAAGGCTTTTTGGTCAGAGAATTTGATTTTTTCCATTTCTTTTTGAAGCAATTTTTGCCAAATACTAGAATATGAAAGGTTAAAGTTACTCCTCTTATGTCAAATTTTCATTATCTGATGAAAGAAGAAGAGTATGAAGAATAGCTTTTCATTAATACCGTTATCTGTAATCAATTTATATCACTGCTTTATGAATAAAGAGTAGCCTTTAAGTTATGTATATTGCTAGTTACTGATAAACTCTATTGTGGGTACTACATAAGTGTCCTTAACAACAGAACCCTTCCTCCCAGTGAAATGGGAATGCTGGTGTCATGGAAATGCATCTTTTTGATTTGTCAAGCAAGAGTGTGCAGAATTTTCCAGAAAACAAAAATGCTCTATAAATTCGATAAAGCCGGTATTCTAAAGGAGAGTTATTGCAATGGAATAACAAATGAATAGCACCTAAAAAAGGTGAACTAACCCACATGAAGAAGTAGAATTAAAATTTCTTTGATAGTTTTGATATATTCTTGTAATAAGCAGTTCTTGCTTCAGGAGGACAGAAATCTTGTTATAAATCTTCCTGACAGTTAGAACAATTAACCAGTGGAACAACCTGCCTCCAGAAGCGGTGAATGCTCCAACACTGGAAATTTTTAAGAAGAAACTGGACAGCCATTTGTCCGAAATGGTATAGAGTTACCTGCCTGCGCAGGGGGTTGGACTTGATGACCTCCAAGGTCCCTTCCAACTATTATTATTATTATTATTATTATTATTATTATTATTATTATTATTATTATTATTATTATTATTATTATATGTTACACACAAAGAATGTGATAAATTTGTCCTATTATTTATACACTAATGACATATTGGTAGAAACTTGAACTTTATTACTTAGCTCTATGATTAAACAAGTATGAGCCCACTAATCTGGATAAGTTTAAGGAAAGATTCTTTTGGGATTTTAGGATTAGCCAAAACTACTTGTTGCTTGAGGCAAAGTAATACAGTAAATATTGTTCAGTCACCTTGATCATCAGCAGTTAACATGGAAACTCCCTCAAGGATTTGTCCCTGGCTGCAGATATCAAACAATAATAAATAAAATAACTAATTATATGTGATTTTTAAAAAAACAAATCACTTTCCTGGATAAAGTCTCATTCTATTTAATGGTAGAATTGGTTTCACTTTTCCAATAGATAGATACATATATATATATATTTATATGTATTGTATATATAAATAAATATACAATATCTTTATGTGAATTTCCTATTAGATGAGAGAAAAGAGTTAGATACTTAAAATATCCCATCCATCTTGCACTAGTCAGTTGTACTATACAGGTTTTCATTTCAACAGAGAATTCTAAAATCAGTAGGCCTATCACTGAGAACCTTAAAATTTAAGAACAATTTTAACTAGTGAGTTACAGTTCAGAACTGATTTAGCAGATACCCATTCTGGCAATAACAAAGATTTCTTTCTAATATAAATGCTAATTGTGACTCATTCTTTAATTGCTGATCAGTTATGGTAATCATAATCAATATTTCATTAGAAGATAGTCTGAAACTATTCTTTTAGGGATCTGAAGAAAAGAAACTTTGTATATTGGTAATAATTTTAATGATCACCATCTGTTGTGTGTTTTTAATAGGACAAACTGAATGTATTTTGTTGCTATATTTTTGTGCAGTTTGTTGTGTATTTTTAATAAAGCATTTTTCTATGATACAGTATATTATTAAATGTGTTCCATTATATTTGTTGAGATCTGGAAAAATGACCAAAAAGTTATATGGTGATTCTGGTCAACGTACAGTTAAAAAAAGAAGGAAACAATATGCATAGAAGAAGAAAAAACATAGCTGACCAGAAGAGTAATTCAGTAACAGGGGGAAAAGAAGTATAACAGCCTATAGTAGCTTGTTTTATAGGCATCAGCAAGAAACATTTTCCATTTTCTTTATTGGTTATCTTGTGTGAAGATCATGCAATTTTAAGTCCATTTTTTCTAGAAGGCACTTGATTTGGGATGGCTGTTTTGAGAATGTAAGAAAAAAATGTTTTCTAATCTTTTACACCATAAATGTTGTCATTACTCAAAGGATCTTTTTTAAAGGTCCATATGAATAGATTCCATATAAATACAGCATGAATATAATTTAATTTAAAACCAATGGTATAGTGATTAGATTTACCTTAAATGTGCTTATTCAGAAATAAGTCTCACTGCCAGATGCATAAGAGTTCAGACCCTTGCCATTCAGGAAGTACACTCTGTAGATCTACTGAGATTCACTTTTCTAACCAATGGTTTATTCCAGTCAGATGGCAGCAACTTGTCAACACTAGCAGATATCTATTGCCAAATATCAGTCTTGGTTAATACAGGGATGGGAAAATAAAGTGTATCTTTTCCACTGGGGAATGGAAAAAAAAGATATCCCAGAAGAAGCAGGGCAAACCATTGTCACACAGTTACCAAGAATATGAAGATGCCATGAGTAAGCTCCTCTGAAGGATATTTTATATTTTCTTTACAACTATTCTATAAAAGAAAAGTCAAAGATTATAAATTAAGTGCGTTAAAAGATTCAGCAGAAAGAATATATGTAAAAGGTCATTTCTCCATAGTTTTACTATTTTTGTGTGGATGTTTTAATTTTTATTTCTTCCTTCTATGTCCTCCTTATCTATGTTGTGTCTCATGACTGTTCTGGATTGTCACTTGCGGTAGGTTTATTTTGCTCTTTGGACACATGTAAAGTAAAGCTCTAATGTACTTAATGTCCCAATAGCTGTGGCTCCTCAGCCTGAGATTTATGCAAAGCTTTTACACAAATCAAGAGGCTGAACTAAATTGATTTATTTATATTACAGGATTTAATACTCATTTCCTTTATTCTCTGTAACTTATACTAAGCTGAAAAGTGTTAGACATTTCAGATTTTGATATGCACTGATTTTGTTTTCTTTTTGGTTATATGTCAAAGTACCAGAATGGCTGTATGCTGTTGTGTGTTTTTTTTTGTATGAAAGAGGAAGGAAATTTGCTTTAGTTCAACCTTTGTGAAAAGAGGCGACCTAATCATATAACTGATAAACTGAAAAAAAATTGGGAATTTAACAATATGTCTCAGAAATAATTGCATCATTGGTCTCTAACCTTTATTGTGTCACAATTTGTTAACAGAGAGGAGAGCACTTTAAATTATATCAGGCTGATTTTTTTTCATTAGCTAAATTTTATGGCAAGTATACCTCATGTTTAAACTGAGTTATTGGGATTCAGTATAAGTTCTAGTAATAGAATGTGTAAAAACCTAACATTGCCAAAGATCAAGATGAATACTATTTATTTTAAAAGGAAAGAAAAAAAAGGAAATATTAGAGAAGATGAACAAATACGCTTGTGAATAATCTAACTTAATTCACCATCATATTTTCCACTAATCAAGTGCCTCTATTCAATTCCCAAGGGAGCATGAAAAAAATACAAAATTCTCCAAAGTAGTACATTCCAATGGAACTCTAGAGAGCATAGGAATGGCTTTGAATGACAGTGGAAAGATCTGTAACCATGACAAAGAAGAGACAAGCATGGTTTAGGTCATTCCAAGAAACTAACTTGAGGATTCACACAAAGATAGAGGGAGAAGCCTATTCAGACTTGCAAGATTCTGTAACTGTGAGCTGTTATGCTAAAATAGTTAACCTATCTGGCATTGGTTTCTCCATCTGATTTACCATACAGGGCTGAAAGGAATAGCTACAGCACTATAGAACATTTTGGAATATAGTATTTCAGTAAGCTCCCAAAGAAAATTTCTGACTGAATCAATTTGTATTCATGATCAGTAATATTATTCCCATCTTTATTTATCTATTTATTAAATTTCTATGTAGCCATTGTCACTAATACAGCAACTCTGGGTGGCTTACAATATAATAACCAATTAAAAAGTGCTAAAAATCAGAATTAGAATAAAAAGATTGAAGTTAAGAACAGAGATGATGGGCAGCCTAGGGTGAGAATCTTCTCTATCCCATCAGCCACTCCCAATGTAGCAGGCCCCTGTTGGGCTCCAGGCCAAACAGCAGACCCAGGTTTTTAGGCTCTTTCAGAAAGCCAGGACTGTGGGAGCAAATCTCACTTGTAATGAGAGAATATTCCAGAGGGCAGGGGCCACAGCAGAAAAGGCTCTTGTCCTGGATTCACTGACCAAAATTTGTTGGCCGATGGGATCCAAAGTAAGCCTTTTCTGCTGGAACAAGTGGGGTGGATTAGTTCAATCAGGGTAAGGCAGTTCCTCTGGACCCATATCCTGGAGTCATGCCATAAAAGTTTTCAAAGTTATGACCATGGTTCCATGAATTGGAACCAGAAGCAAATTACCAGAAGCAGCCAATGCAACTCATGTAACAACTTTGCCACATGTGCCACCTGAAGAATTGTCCATGCCACTGCATTCTGTACCAGTTGTAATTCCAAATACTCTTCAAGAGTAGCCCCATGTAGAGCATGTTGCAGTACTTCAACCAGGCGATGCCAAGGACATGAGCGACTGTGCACAGGGCCTGATGATTCAGAAAAGGGTGCAACTGGTATACAACACGAAGTTGTGCAAAGGCTCTGCCAGCCATGACTGGTCACAAATCTAGGAGAACCCCCAGATTGTGCACATGGTCTATCTGTGGTGCAACCCTGTCCAGAATTAAGGATGATGAACCCCCAGATCCTGAGGCCTTTCAAACCCACAGACTTATCAGGATTCAGATGAAGCCTGTTGTCCCCCTTCAAACCCCAAGCACTACCTCTTTAGACTGCTTTTTAAAAATTATTTGTATTGGAAGGATTGTTTTTGAGGGGACCTTGATGCTCTCTGAGCTTGCTTGTTTTCTTGCAGATGTTTCATTACCCAAATTAGGTAACATCATCAATGCTAGTGACTGTGCACAGGGCCTTATGATTCAGACTAGCACTGAGGCTTTACCTAGTTTGGATAATGAAATGAATGCAAGAAAATAAGCAAGCTCAGAGAGCACCAAGGACCCCTCATGTCAATCCTGAGCTACAAATATTCTTCTTGATTAGGATTGCTTTTGGTTTCGTCTGGGTTGCACATTTTAAAAATCCTTTTTTATCTTGTATTCTTAATACATGTTATTAAATGATTTGGTAATATGTGATCTGTGGCTTTATTCTTACTATCTGTGAATCCCAAATGAGGTTGAATCAGATTTATTTTATAGAAATTAGATAATTCTATTCCATTCGCTCAAATAGTCATCAGTGCCAGTGGGCATACATATAAAGAAAAAGAGTAGAGAGTAAAATAGGAAGGTAAATTGTCAGAATGAGAATGAGTGTTTTCTCCTCATACACCCCAATTTATTTTCATACTGCAAAAGAAGCAATTGATGTAATATTTTTATACATTTAATCATACAGTTTCTATCACCTAAAATAAAACTTTGAGCCTACGTTGTTTTAACAAATACATGATGAAACACATTTAAGTTTCATTCTAACTAAAGTTGACAATCCTAAAATTACACTGAAATCACTGGACCTCTTTTCCCCATTGTTTTAAATAAAAAATGCAGTGTAGCTGATACATATCAGATTATAACTTTAACTGAATTAAATCCTTGAACATACTTTTTTGAGAAACCATGCCTGTTGATTGAAATGTTAAACATAGATATTTGGAAATAAGTGTCAAGAGCTGGCATACAAAATATTGTCTGCCCATTTTTAAATCTGAATTATAATATGATGGAAATTTGTTTCAAATACTGCTTCAGTCGATACTTTTAACTTTTTCTTTTTTTAAAGTCTCTGTTGGAAATTGCTCTCAGTGCCTTCCTAAAATTAATGATACTTTATCTCAGATAAATTTGCAAGTGTTAGTTATCCTTAATTGTTTAAAAATGAGATATCTTTAAATCACTTTGGTTCAGCCAATCTTTAAATTAATATCAAATGAAAAGAAAAAGAGAATGAAAGGAGTCCTAATTTTTTGTGACCATACATTTGTTAATGTCTTAGTGGTACCTTTGCTTCTACATTCAACCCAAATGAAAACAAAAACACTGAAACTGTTTGGCATTTCACTTTTTGAAGAAATTATATGCAATAACATTAAAATAGCAGTAATTCTGCAGAAGCACTTTGCTTTAATGTAGGTAATTCACAGCATGCACAATGGTTTAAATTGGAAGACTTTGCAACCTTGCTTATTTAATAGCATGCTTATTCACAACTGTCTTTGGACAAGCAATTTGATTCAATTTGATTTTTAAAAAATTAAGTATCAAGTTGACATTCTCTTTATGTTTCAGGCTTTGAAACAATTGTTGCTTGCAATACCCCCCCCAAAGAGGCGTTTCATAGCTTTTTTGCTGCTTGCTGCTGATAATTCTTGTATATTTGGACCAATCTAAATATATATAGACAACATAATGCCATCATGCTTGCTTTTTTTGCTTCACTATATGACTAAGCAGAAGTGCTTGGTTTTATTTTTTGATGAGATTATTTTAGGGCTTTGCTTATAAATCAGTCATTCTCATTGACACACTTATTGCTCTTAATTGTCTACAGGCCCTTAAGGATGATGATGCTGAAACTGGATTGACTGATGGAGAAGAAAAAGAAGAAGTCAAAGAAGAGGAGAAATTAGGGAAAATCCAATATTCCTTGGATTATGACTTTCAGAACAATCAGGTTTGAAACAAATGTGATTTTAGAATTTTATGAATTAAAACCCAGTATTTTAAAACCTGCAGAAAAGTGCTGTCCTGAGGTCTCCTAGAGCACACATGGTGATCTCCAGTTCTCCCTTATCTGGAGAGGTTCCATGGACCCATTACTGGTTCCTTGGTCTTTGCAGTAGTTATTGGCTTCACTTCTTCAATTTGCCTTATCTCCCTTGGAAGTCGAATTTCTTTGAATAGTACTTATTTGGACTATCATTGGCTATTGGTTATATCCTAAAAATCTATCAAATGAACAGTATACTGATTTTTAGATTAAAATATTATTTATTAAAATATATGTTCTTAATCATCTTTATTATACCTAGACTTTCATAACCAAATCATTAAAGTTCATTACAGGTTTTTGTTTTTATATCAAAAACATCTTTATCAGATTGCCTATGTTGTACTATGCTTTTGACATGAAAACTTAAAAACACTCTTTAAAAATAATAAAATAAACATAACTCTATAATATAAAATTATACCAATTAAGCAAACACAAATCAGTTATTAATTTATAAGTAATGAATCTCATTTTCACATTCATAGCTAATAAAAGTTGTTAACTTTCATAATTAATAGAGATATGTCAATTTTTATTTCTATAGTCTATTAAAAAGATTCTGTATCAAAATACTATATTTGTGACATAGCTAAATGGAAAAGATAATTAAATTATATTTACATTACATGTGCATGTACACAAAGATTATGCTAGTATTTACTACAATAATAATGCAGCCTACATGTACATGTACATTTAATATACTTGCCAGGTTCTTAACACTATTTCTACCTATCTGTCTGATAGTCATAGACAGGATAGTATAAATAAAAATCAGTTGTATCATTTTAATTGATCATTTTAAAAATGATCATTGATCATTGATCATTTTAATAATGATTAAATGTGGGTGGATAAACACTCCTTCATATTTCTAATATTTTCATTTAGTAATTTCTAAGTTTTAACTTCTATCAAACCTTTCTATTAACTTAGGTTGCATGCCAAGTTTTATCATGCAATTTTACATCTTTCTATTGAAAAGAGAAAAAAAAAGCCCAAGATGGATTCTTTAAGGCAGGGGTGTCAAACTGCCAGCCCGCGGGCCAGATGCATCATGCCGAAACTGGCAATGGCCCACCCCATTGCTGGCAATGGAAAAAAGTCCTGATACGTCATGACACGTCACGTGACATTGCGAGTTTCACACCCCTGTTTTAAGGCAAAGGTTAGTTCAGATTATAGCTGCTTAAAGCAAGACATTTCAGTCCTTTTAGAGTAATTATGGATTGAAGCAATGTCTCCAAGTACATCTTTCTAGTTCAGATACAGCCTGAGTAAGGCTTCATGTATTTCAGCTCCTGTTCTGTGGTAACCTTTTTGCTTACTCATTCCTGAAGCATGTTTAGTTAAAGCTTCATCTGGTCCAGAACTTAATAGGCCTTACTATTCTCACATATTCCTCACATATTCCTGACTCAAAGAGCATCAGAAAATGAAGAATAGTATGTATGCAACGACATGTCAGGAATAAGTTCTCCTTAAATGTCTGATTAAAATTTTGCTGAACTAATTCTTTCCCTCTGTTTCATCTCCTTTTCCAGCTTCTGGTAGGGATAATTCAAGCTGCTGAGCTGCCTGCTTTAGATATGGGTGGTACATCTGATCCATATGTGAAGGTTTTCCTGCTTCCTGATAAGAAAAAGAAATATGAGACAAAAGTTCACAGGAAAACCCTTAACCCTGTCTTCAATGAACAATTTACATTCAAGGTATTATAATGTACTTACTTTTTCATGACTTACGTTTACTAAAGATTAACCCTATACCTCACCAAGGAATTGTTTATAGCCTAGTTAATTGTTACTGTTAACATAATGAACTTTTTTAAAAAAGTAATACGTTTTCAGAGGTTGCCTTCTTGTAAAATATACTTAAAGATAGGTATATTGGATTGCGTGCCTCCCCATGCCTCTGCCTCCACCTGCCACTTGAGGGCTGGCCCAGCGGCCACACTCCTGGGACCCACCATCCGTCTTTGCTTGCCCACTCCTGCTGCAGCTAGGTGGGGCGGACAGCTGCCCAGCATGTCCAGCAAGCTGGATCACGTCCCCCATGCCTCTGCCTCCACCTGCTGCTTGGAGAACTGGCCCAGGATCTCAGAGTGTGGCATCCAATGGGCAGCCAAGGGACCGGCTGGTTGTGGCTGCTGCCAGGCACCACTGGCCCTCGTGCACTCGCTGCTTCCTGTGCGCACGCCCAGGGGGGTACCTGGCCGAATTGGGGTGGGACAGGGATAGGGCAACGGGGGCTGATCCCTTGCCATCTCCAGGGCTGCCACGTGGGCCAGATCTGGGCCCATTGCGGGTCGCATCCAGCTCATAGCCTTCAGTTTGACATGTCTGAAGTACAATATTCCAGCTGTACTCACAAGATTATATTTGTTTTCCTAAAATACCAGCTAGACAGCAAACCTATACATATATACAAAAACCTGTAATGCTCTGAGCAGGTGATGAGTCAACCCCATTTTGTGGCATCTCCTGTTTAACTCGATGCCAGGGGATGGAATGTGTGAGACTAGGCCAAAGCCACCATACCTAAAAGTGGCAAAGGTACGTAAGCAGGGTAGACAAAAGGCAGGAAAAGCTCTCTTAGGGAAAGGAACCAAGTCATAAAGGGAACAAAATGACAGAAGTTGGGTCTGAGTACATGGCAAGCCCCTCCCCAACCAACTCTGGGGAAGATAAAAAGAAGTCCTCAAGCCAGCCCAACCCTTTTGAGTTGCTTTTGGATCCCAAACTTGGCAGCTTCTGTCCCTCTGGCTAGTGCCTGGCAGCCTAGTAGTGGACTCTGGGTAAGTGTGTGTGTGTGTGTGTGTGTGTGTGTGTGTGTGTAAGAGCAAAAATATATCAGTAAAAGTTTGTTGTTATTCTAAACTCACTGGGTCTCTGTGTATTTTAAAGAACCGTTTGTGCCTCAGTGTTCAGTTGATTTAGGATTGAGTGTGGCAATTTTCCAGGCCTGTTGTGATGACCCAGGGAACAGCACAGAGGCAAAACAGTCAACTGGCAGTTCAAGCCGCTCTTTATTTGCTCCAATTTTCCCCAAATGCTCCCACGTTTCTGGCAAGCCGCAGAACAAAGTAAGACACACACACCTTCAGCAGCCTCTGGCTGCAAGTAGTTTCACAAAATTTTAACTCTTCAGGCAGGAAGAGTGTGTATGGAACAAGCCGTCCTCCTTCAGGTTTCAACTCACACACAGTTAGATTAGAAGAGTAATTTACTCAAGGCCACATAGATAACAAGGAAAGAAACAAACATCCAAAATCTAACGAGTCTGTGGAAATGCAAGCTTACCTGAACAGTTTCAGAAGAGAAGCCAAAATTCAATCCGAGGTCTGTGAACACCAAATCAAGTTTGTCAGCCAGTCGAATGGTCAGAGTTTCAGGGTTTCCAAGCAGAAATCACAACACAGAACAAGAGATCAGAGTTGTTTCCAAGATCAGCAATGGCACACAAAACTAAGCATTCAGTGTTTGTTCCCAACAAATGCTCCTCCCCACAGTGTCTCCTTAAGTCTCAGTCTCAAGGTGTGCCTTGTGGAGAGGGGCGGAGAGCTCTCTTCCTGAGTAGTTGAGCCTGCCTGCGTTGTTCCCTCCGTCTCTCCACTCTCTCCGTGCTCTAGGATCAGGAGGGGGTGGCCCTTGCTCATCGCCTGAGCTCTGTCTCTCATGTTCATCCTGTCCCAATCCTGAAAGGCCCTGGCCTGCCTTGGTCTGCTCTTCCCCACATTTCTCTGAAGCCATAGACACCTCTCCCTCGACCTCCATAGGCTCCAGTTCCAGCTCATTTTCCTCAGCAGATTCAGGGAGGCATGACACCTGTGAGTGAGTGTGTGTGAGTGACCATAAGCTGAAGCTGAGAGCACACCTGTATAACATTTTATGGTGTCAGAAGTGTGTTTGCTGCTTTTTATCTTTCCTTAATATTGTCTTGAATCTAATTGATTTTATAAAAATAACAGTATACTGTGATGTTGTCATACTGACTGATTGGATGTTATGAAAGTTGATCTGACTTGGGAGATGGGTTACAAATTTGCTTAGAAATGAACTTAATAAATGCAGTAAAACAAAGAATTGTTAAACAATTCCTTTTCTACTAGATCTATATTTTTCACTCCCAATAGAATATTATTCCCTCTTAAAAAATAGCACCTGATTAATTTGATTATACACATGTATTTATATTAGTATTTTTGTGTTCCATATACTCTGTGATAGTTAATTGGTGTCATTAACACCATGTGAGATAATGGTTTCCTTAAGCCCAGTGGCGGATTTAGTAGTTAGGAGGCCCGAGGCGCAAACAAATTGAGGCCCCCTCACGTAGGGAGGAAAGAAAGAAAGCGGGAGGGAGG